GCATAGTCATAATTAAAATTAATCAAAATCCATCGAATTACATTTTGAGTCACTAATATTTTAATAAACTGAAACATTGAACTAGTAAAACGATAGATTAATAAATTCCGTTTTTTGTGCGATTTCATAATATTTAAAAGCAATTTTTTAAAATCCCTCGCCCACGATGTAATTTTGAGTATGGAAAAAAAATTCAATTTTTTCCCAATCCAGTCCTGGATTTTTTTTGAAAATACTCAAATCCCTTGGATACTCAATTTGAGAAAAATCTAGCAGGTGGTTAGTAAAATAAAAAAAAACGTTCTATGCGTCATTCACGAAGAGGTTATACCCATTAAATTTAATATAGGTTTTTTTGGAATTGTATCTGTTCTTTGTGATTAAATTAGAAATTCATTGTAATGAGAATATTGTATAAAATTTTAATTTTTGTAACGTGATACTTGTTATTTTATCTATTTGTTATAGTGTTTTAAGCTCAATTGATTTTGGGAGTGGGTCAGGTTGTTAAATAACTCGAATTACCTTGAAAAAGAAGTTGGGCACCACTATATTTAAAACTTACTGTACTTGACTATAGATTATTGATAAAAATATAGAAAATCACTAACCATTAAGATAATCTTTTTTATTTGGTGTCATCGGCATCGACTACTATAGTCATTAGCCTCGAGTTCTGTGTAGGCTTTGTTACTGTTTCCCAGCGCCACTTTAGGAACAGCACTGTTAATTAGAACCCAATTAAACAAAGTTTTAGATAAGGTAGTAACAAATTCTAATTCACAGAGATTTACTTAATTCAAATTTAGATGATTTATTGAAAAACACTTATCTGTTGTAACAGGAGGTAGTATATAAGGAGTGATGTATGGAATTCTAGGCCTTCTTCAAAGGGATTCTTGTTCTTATATCTGGACTCGAACGATCTATAGGTGAACCAAACCTCGGTCTTCAGATGGCACCAAACTCTTAGATATAAATCTCCATAAACTTGAACTTAAATCTTCATGAACTTAAATCTCCATAAACTCTTGATATCACTTGAAATAAACCGTCTAGATATAGCCAAGCTAAAAGGAAAAGGTAAAAATGTTAAGAAAGGAAATAGGAAATTTGCACAGGACCCAGACTAATAATTGAACAATTTAAAACTATTAACTGAATAATTTCACATAGACTAAAATTAATATGAAAAGGAAAAATCTTATTTAACATATTTAAACATAGAAAAGCATAATATCTTACTCCAAACAAAATAATATATAAAATTATATAAAACGTGTTATCCATTGTTGATATGTACTGAGGTTATGTTTAAAATTTTACATTTCATTTAAGAAATTCTTGTACAAAATATATATTTTCAACAATATATCGGTATTAAAGCTTACCTTACAAAATCAGACGGAATATACTATAGATAAAAATTATTTAGTGCATCAGATGACCCAGATATTTTGAAATGAATCTGATCTGGTTGATATATTCGAATCAAGTAAAATATGAATTTTGACACAAGGCATAAACGACAAATGACATTTGAGTAGAGATGTTTGTGTCAAAATAAAGAAAACGGTTCCAACCGTTACAACCATTTATTACCTTCTAATTTTTTTCCTTTATATTTCACTTTTTTATATCAAAATCTTATTAAAGTTTTTCATAATACCAAGTTGTTTAGTTGCTCTAGAAATAAATATTCAGATACCGTTTTTTCGATATATTTTTTATTGTGTTTCTAGCTTACAAGAACATTCATTAAGATGTACGAGTCAGAGCTTGAGATAGAATGTGATCTAACAGAATAACGTGAGCTTCAAATTACTCATATTGTAGTGTCAAAGTTTATCAAGCTCGTAAATTTTAATGAACATTTTTTTACTATTTATTTTTTATTCCGTATAATTTGTTTTAGGTTGCATTATGCATGGCAGAAGGTGTACAAATCTATCGTAAACAGAGCATCGTAACATTTGGACATACTAGGGAAGACAAGAAAAATGGTCACCTGGTCGTAATGTTATTTGGTTTCATCTGTATAACTATAGGAATATCTCTTAAAATTAGCTACAAAGTGGACAATAATATGGCTCATTTTATGACCACACATTCAAGATTAGGTACGTAATAATTATAATTTAAACATTTTTCTTCCTTTTGTACCCATATGACAATGACTAGAATAATAAGAACGAATTCAACAATAAAACTAATCATTGAGGGCAAAATAAATGTAAAACACAAGACATTGGACTATTCCTATTCAACGATTTATCCCTACCTAACGAAGGGTAAAGAAGAGATAAAATATGTAGTCTTAAACATCAGTCAATGGATAACATAGAAGTACTTCTCTCTAAAAGTACACGCGCGTAGGTAGCATATCAAGTATCAACTTTGCACCCTGTATATTATTATATAGCTTGTGTTGAAAATGGATAATATACATAATAATATGTGGGTGTAGAAAAAAATAATGTTTCCCTATTTTGAACTCTTTCCGTGGACACACTGTATTTATAAAACTAATAACACTGTATTATACCTACCATAAAATGTAATCTATGAGTACATATATGTGTGTGTATGTAGGTATACAAGTAAAGATAATATTTGAACCATAAATTTTTCTTACTTAGTCTTAATTGTAACGACAAAATTTTGAACACAAATTTTTTGTATCTGAAAACAAAAATCTGAGTCTATTAAGCTGATATTATTATGGGTCCAGATAATGTTCCTGCCTTTCTTGTTTGTTTCTGCTAAGCCCCTCAGTATAATTTTTAATCTGATAATATCAACGTTTGTTTTTCCCGGAGAAAATTTCAAAAACTGCTCCGGTGTATAAAAAGGACAACAGAAATGACATTAAAAATTACAAACAAAATAGGAATCGGCACTAACTGAATTATATACTAATAAAATTTTGTGTGTATTTATACCTAATCCTATTTAATTTCACTTTTATTTTAAAATTAATTTTTGTTTTTGTTTTTTTTGCAATTTTTTTGCCATTTTCTTTTTTTTGACCATGGGTTTTGGCGCCCCTTAAGGATGGCACCCGACTTTGCACATATGGTAGCAGGGGCCCTGCTTTTGACGATGTGAAAACAATCAAATATGTATAACTACCTGCAGGATGTTTTACTTTTTAAATGTATAGGTTTGGTCAACCCCTCGTTTATGGGCCACCCTGTATATTTAAGAATAATTGTTAAATATGCTCATAGAACTTTTATATTAATTTTGTTTCGCTATCGATCAATTGAGCACTGATGGGACACCTTGTATATGTGTTAGTGGTTAACATGTTGCTATCGTTGGAAAGGTTAATTTATAAGGAATTTTATTCTAAAATAATATGCAGGGTGTTGCATTTGATAAAATTAAGTAAATTGAACTTATAATTAGCCATATATAAGATGTCTCAAAACACTCTGTAGAAAATAATCCAGTTCCATCACTACTATTCGTTAAATTACAATCTTATGAGTCTGTATTTTAAACAACATTGAAATCATTTTTAACCTATCTAAATTGTGATAATTTATTTAGGGGTCTGCATCATTCTCTAATTTCAAATAATAAATTAATTGCTTGACAACACTGTAATATTTTTTAAAAAAATTCTAGAGTTGAATACAGTATAACCAAACCATTCTAATACTAAAATATAATATAGGGTGTTATTTAAAATATATACTTTTTTTTTGTCATGCTATAACGCAACACCCCGTATATCCAAAAATATTTTTAAGATATGTATTTTTTAAATTCATATAACTTTTATTTAAAACTTGTTTGCGTTCTTACAATACAAATTAAAATATTGAACAATTACGCACTAATGGAACACCCTGTATATAGTAGGGGATCCAGTGACACTTATTTGGTACACATTTGCACAAGGCATTTTCTATTTAGGCCTTTAAGGCATTATTTAAATCGTCGTCATGTTTTACAAGGTAAGAATGAACGAAATATTTGTAATTTTGCCTTTAACAACCAGAGCCGTATTAATTCATGACGTAAATAACAGGAGTGGAATCAGCACACCGTACGCATTTGCAAATATTTGAGCTAAAATTATACATAAAATATAAGAGACTTCTAGCTCATAAATTTAGCAGCTTATGGGTGAGATTACAGAACGTCTGCAACTTTGTAGATCTGCAAATATGGCGGCAACTTTGAAAATCTGTAAATATGACTGACTTACACATGCAAGTATCAAGTTTTCGTATTCCAAATTTGGGTTTAGTGTTGTTGGGGGTAATAAACCACAATAAATATTCCGAATTTGCAGATATTTTTTGGAATACTTGCATTTGTAAGTCCGCCATATTTGCAGATCTGCAAAGTTGCAGACGTTCTGTAATCTCATCCTAAGTTTAATAATAATATAGAAAATACCGAGGGTGTTCCAAAATTTAAGAAACTCGTCCTTGATATAATTACAATCTTGTAGTTTCCGTGAAACCTACTCATTAGTACGAACGTTCATAGATATCATATAATAAAAAGTTTATTAGTTACCCGGCCGGTACTTTCTTATCACAACTAACCATTTCTTCATTTCGTTTTTCATGCTCATCGAGTGAACGTGTTTTAAATTAAATAAAAATCGAAGTGTTTTAAAATAATTGTGTTAATTATGCCAAAAAGAAAAAAGATGTGCATCTACCGATCTAAGAAAGATGCGTAAATTTGAAAATATGAAGAAGTAAATGAAAAATCTACCAGGATTTTCGGCGGATGAATAAAAGTAATTACTTGTGTAATATTTACAATATAAATAGCTCATGACAACACGCATAGTCGTTGTTATAAATTTTAAAAACAATATTGTTTTCCTCACTAAACATAAATAATTGAGCTACGTAACATGCGTTACAAAATTAAGGGTAGTTGGGACAACAAGCGTTGCTCCCACTTATAGTTTGGACAACAAGCGTTGCTCCTAGACTAATACAGAATATAACTTGTAGTTTCTATTTAAGAAAGCACGAGCGATTCCTCAGCTCAACAAACTCAAGCAGCCACTTGCAATAGAGGGTGAAACAAATTTTGAAGTCTCATTAGGTGCTAGACCTGACAAGAGCTTAGAAGATGGGAAGCCTCTTAACGAGGAATTTGTAGTCGGATGGGAAACATATTTACGCAAGGGACTTTACCGTGTTTTCCCGAAGCTGCACTGAAGCATAATACATTTGTGATGGTTCTTCAGCAGCAATTAGGACACGGGTTGACCGCTGTAGCTATGGTGTTAGATACTATGTTACAAAAGGAAGACTAGTCAAAAAATGCAAAAACTCTAGCAGCCTTCATCCCAAACTATAAGCCGTTTGATAAAGAAAACTCTTGCTGTAGGTGAAGTAGATACATCCCTTTTTTTCTAGTCATAGCGCACGCAGTATTTAAAGCAGGTGTAAATGTAAATCAAATAAAAAACAGCTTCTTCAAACATATTTTTTATAATAAACCACTTGCAGAGCCAAATGATGCTTTTGCAATGGTCGACATTTCGTAAATTATTGTTATCTATATATTATTTTTGTTTATTACATTAAAACTGATGTTTGACATTTTATAAACTAGTTGTACATCTAATTGTTAACTATTTTAATTTATCTCAATATATTAGATTAAATTGATTTGTTTCAAAATCGCATTTCACTCTAAACATCTACAAGGTTGTAATTTTATCAAGGATAAGCGAAGGAAAATTGAAGGATTAATTAGCTTATTTTAAGGAAAATTGATCCTTATTTTCCGAGCTTGTCCGAAGATATAATTACAAACCCACCCATACATATTCCCTCTTGAGCAATTTTGAAAGGTAGCTCAAAAAGGAATGAAGAAAGTACCGTAAGGGTGACTAATAAACTTTTTATTATAAATATCTATGAACGTTCGTGCTAATGAGTAGGTTTCACGGAAACTACAAGGTTGTAATTATATCTTCGGACAAGCTCGGAAAATAAGGATCAATTTTCCTTACAGGTAAGCTCAATTAATCCTTAAATTATACAGTATAATATTCGTAATGTCAAGATAATATTTCAGTACAGCGGTTACCGTTTGTAAGAGAGAGGTAAACTAGCCGAAATTGTAAATATGGGAATTATATTTTTGACTTATATTTTACACTACTACACTATATTACATTATTTTCTACATTAGTGTACACTATATAAATAGATGTCAAAAATATTGATTTGTAATCCTAAAATTATAAGCAACTGTTTCACACGTTCGTTTGTCCCTTAAAATCCATTTATATACATAAAATGATCTTTCAACATCCACAGATGTTACGCGGGCATACATGAAGTTTTTTTGTTTTTTAAACATGGTACATTTATGTTTTCTTAAGCAAAATCTACTTCCTTACTTTTTAAAAGAAAGTCTACAAATAGTAGAAAAACTTGCATTATTATTTAAAACCATTTCCAATTTATTCCTTATACGATTAGCAACAGTTCCTGACAATTGGAAAATGATATGGTAGATATCATCACTGCTTAAAGCGAACATGGACTTCATCTCACCAAGATATAAGTCGTATAAACCTATAATACAACACCGACGCGTTCCAAAACAAAAAAAGGCTCAGGATTTGGAAAATACTCCAGATCCTTAAACATAAAATGGACTATGAGCAGTAATGCCAGTGTCATTCAAACCAAGCTCACGGGGATTCTCATAGCAGCTAAATAAATCACCAGAAATGATATTACTGGAAGAAACATGCTCATCTATACAGATAGCAGACAAGCACTAATCACCCTGGACAAAGAATTTATTCAGGGTTAGTACTAGAATTCTTTTTAGACCTGGCCCCTCTATTGGACTAACAACATCAGTAGTGACAAAATTAAAGAACATTCCCCTGTGAAATTCAAGGAAATATGGGATGAAAGGAGAAGCTGCAGACTTGCCAGGGAGCAAATACTTGACAATGACTGGAAAGAATATGTGCCTGATCACAGGCATTCTGACTGGACATTGCCAACTACGGAAGCATCTCCATATCATGGGGGTGGCAGAATTCGCACTCTGCAGGGGATGCGAACAAGAAGATGAGACCATCGAACATATTCTCTACAATTGCCCGACACTTTTATTTATTAGAAGAACACCGGCCGATATAAGGGAAGCACCTCTTGGCGACGTTGTCAACTACATTAAATCTGTAGGCTGGATCATGAGCTAGGAGCTGGGTGCCTACATACTTAGGAGAATGCACAATGTGCCTAGTGACTCCTACGTGCCGTGGGTTAGCCCACCCTCCACACGTTACAGATACAGATCACCAGTAAATTCTAATTCCGGAAAATCGTTTATCATACGTTCTACTATCGAACTAGATAGATTTTCCGATAAATTTTCACAATATGCGAAAAAATATAAATTGTCACTTGAATTCTAACAGCTTTATGTACAAAATTTAACTGAACAACATAAACTAGTCAATTTTTACGCTTAGGTAGGGCCCGATTACAATTAGAAGAACACAGGTGCGTCATCAGTTGGCGATGGCCGCCTACTGGAGGTTTAGTAGTGTTAATATTATAGGAATATAGAAACTATTTTTTTATACCTAACAACTTACTTATTCTTTATTAATTGATAGTGATAGATAATATGTATTTGAAATTCGAAATAATTCCATCATCTATCCGTTTGACAAACGATGACGTCAGTACCTGAAGGCGCGGATACATATTTGACACTTTATCGAGAAAATAAGTTTTATTGTTTATTCTGTTGGATCAAATTTTGTTTAGCTGAAATTAGTGACATAGAAACTGTTGCCATGGTAACCACATGCGCGGATTTCGAAACGTCGATCGGGCGCGTATTTTTGTTTGGTCGCTACCATGACAAGGGTCCATATAGCAACAATTTGGGTTTTTGTTTAGTCGTTACCATTACAAGCGTGCCCATTATAAGTTTTTGCAAAATTAATTTCAGCTAAATGAAACTAAACAAAAACCGTAATCGTCTATGATTTGGCAGTTACGCATTTCCTCACTACGAGATTTGGGTTTTTGTTTACTCATTGCCATCACAATTATTGACATGACAACAATTTCTGCATAGATGATTTCAGCTAAAAGAAAATTAAACCATCATCTACGTTTTAATTTTTTATGAAAATATCTACAGTGGTCTCTGTCATTCCTCTAATTTGACATCCTCAGATATACATAATTCCGAGCTCTGTTTATCAATATACACAAATTTTTTTTATTATTTAATCGACAAATATTTTGATGAATTAAAGCCTTACCTGAAATGACTTATTAACATACAGGCTCTGCTAATTACACACTTAAACGTATCACTGGCTCATCTACTAATAATAAAAGTTTTGTATTAAAACCTTAGATTATACAAACCTTAGATGGAACATAAGACACTGCGGATAATCCCATTTCAAAATGATTCACACCCACCAATCACAGTTGAGAACAGACCGTTGTCCATCCAAATTTAATGTGTCAACGAGAATTAATTTGGTATTTTAGTGACTTAAATTTTGGAAATTAACGTTGAAAATGCCAAGATGTGTTGTAAAAAGCTTTATTTATAATAAACCTGCGAAATGTGACGGAGATAAAAGAAACTTATATTTATTTTGGTGAGATATTTATTTTTTAAAGATTCTGTCGACGTCCATATTTGTTGATTTGATAATAAACAGAATCGGACTTGGTCATTGGTACATGTTATAAGTAGCAAATAAAGGTTATTATTATAAACTGTTTACTATTTCTTGTTTCATAGGGAATCTTTTTTTAGGAAGTGAAAAGAGAAACATACAATCAAATACAAAAATATCAATTTCATTGCCAATTTATTCGTTTCAAACTTCACAACTGGTTTCAATAGTTTTCTCAAAACTATTTATTTAGTAATTCTCTATAATAGTGTTACTCTAAGTGTAATGCCAAAGTTTCCGCGAAGAAAATAATCACAATAAAAAAAAACAGTACTATCGCCACAAAATGGAGGGACCTGGCTTGAGGACCGTTTTTTGGGAAGTAATTTTTTTAAGTCACTAACAGAAAGGAGGTCCTAAAGTCCTAAAGGAAGTCCTATAGCAAAATGCTTTAGGACTTTTTTTTATTTAATTTTTTATGGGTGAAATAGATTTGGGATAATTTTTGCAAGGAATCTTTGGAATAAATCAAAAATAAATAATGCTCTTGGGCATTTTCAGCCGATTAAATTATTCGTAGATGCATCAAATGTGGGAATAAGGGCCATGATATGTCATGTTTAAAAAAAAAAAAAATATTGAGAAATCCATAGTTTCTGCTTGCGTACCTTATCAAAGTCCGAACAAAAATATTCCCAAATTGAAAGAGAGTACTTGCAATAATTTTTGGCTTAAATAAATTTAATGAATATTTATATGGACATTTGCATAAAGTAGAACATTATGCAACTGATTACGAAAAGTTGATTATGTCACCAGTTACGAAATGAAAATAAATAAAACTGCCTCTTTTTTGGTTTCTAAGTTGAAAAATCGTAAAATCGAGAAATTGAGATACCGAGAAATCGAAAAATCGAGAAATCGAGTAATCGAAAAATCTAAAAATAAAAAATTGAAAAATCCAAAAAAGGAAAAATCGAAAAAACCAAATATCGAAAAAGAAGCAATGAATAGTGACATTTCACATTTGAAAATATGACATTACGTTTAAAAACAAAAAAAGATAAGCTGTAAATTGCGTTTAATTTTTAAAATAACACCGTTATTGAAAACTGCCCAGAAATGTTGGGGGTAAAATTTTGACGTACTTCTTTAAGGATAATGGGTAAAAATGTTTTTTTTTTCAAATTTCTCGCGGGTAATGTCAAAAATTAGATCGGCAACACTGCACATGTCCCTTATTTTTATTATTACTATTGAAAAAAAAAACGTCGTAGGGCAATCAAATACAACAATTTTCTAAAATATTTTATTGGAAGTACCTACACAAGAATGATGGTGAATCATTTTTCAACACAATTTTATAAATAGTCACGTCAAAATTAGAAAAAATCTTGTATATAAACACGTTACGAAATGCCGTTTTGTGTAAATCGTTCATGTTGCGGGAACTCGCTCCGCTCGTTTTGCAAATATTTACTCGTTACACAAAATAAGGCATTTCGTAACTGGTTACATAAATAACTATTAATTGACTTTCTAATATTTTAATTCATTGGACGATATTTTCTGTAAATAATTAAATCATAAATAATTACCAGGATATAAGTACAAAAACATGTTTTTCTCTTAGAACAGTAGGCCTATGTCAAATAAACATAAAATATTATAACGAACGAAAAGGTAACCCATTTCTAATAAAATTTAGTTATTTATTTTATTTTGGTGTGATCGTAGAAAAAATCTTGTGTGTAATTCGAGCAAAAAGTACTTATAAACTTTTACTTAGGGTCGATTTCACCGTTTTATTAAACGAAGTTTAAAATACTAAACGAAGATTAAAATGACATTTTTATATTAACAAAAACGAAGTTTAAATTAATAAATGGAGTTTAAAATGACATTTTTATATTAACAATGTAATTTTAATCTTCGTTTAATAATTTAAACTTCGTTTGACACAACGGTGGAATCGACCCTTAGCTAGTTATATATTAATAAAGTGTTATTGCCCTCATCATACATGAATCGTGCTAACAAATAAAGTCAAACAAACGTCTCATAATTTTTCATCTTTTAATTACCCCCCAAAATTAGGTACCTACTACAATACAAATATTTAAGTCCGGCCCAGAACACCTCCCTACTCCTTCCACCCAGTTTTTCGGTTTTGGCAAAATTCGCGCAGCGAGAAATGCTTCCTATGTTACCACTACCCTTTCTAACCTCTGATTAAAACTCAGGGTAGGAAACATAACGACAACAAATTTTGATGATTTTAAGCGAAAGTAGAATTTCCGCATGCGTAGCAGCGATCATCAATAACGGGAAAGGTCTATTGCTCTATTGTATACTAAACTTTAGTTTTAAATACATTTAATATTTTCTTTTTATTTTTAGGTTTATCGACCTGGATAATATCTTTTGTAGCGATACTAGGAGGTCTGTTGGCTTATCAAGCAAGAGGTATATCAAGAATAAGTCCATCTATAATTAAAATCATCCACGTTGTTATTGGTTTATCTGCTTATTTAATTGCTATTGTTACTTTAGTATTTGGTTTAGAACATTTAATGGGCGCTGGAACTAATGGTTGGATAGCACTTACTATTCTTTTCCTAAGTGTTGCTGTTTATAGTTTAATAGGACCACTTACCTCATTATTTAATTACATAACAGGAAAGTAAACTGTATTAATTTTCATGAGTACGATACATCAAATCGTCGTTGAAGGAATGACATTCATATACAGTGAAGTTGGAATAAATTCGATATTTGCTTCATAACTTATAAAAACAGTACTAACTAATTAAAACAAAAAAGCAACCCAAAAATATAATTATATAATACCTGTAAATGAAAAAATAAACTTATATCAAAAATGTTTGGCGTTAAAACGAAATGAAATATTTTTAACAAATTCAAATGATTTTCTCGCCTGAATTTTTGCATTAATAAACTGCCTTTTTAATTTAGTTTTTGGTTTTCAACTTTTATAACACTATTTATTTTTACATAATATGTTACCAGCTAAAAATCTAATAACACTTTCATAAATTGGTGAATATTCGGGTAGGCTCAATAAAAGGATGAATTAAATTGGTTAGGAAAAGACTTGCAAGCATTAGTCGTGTGCTGAATGGATGATGAATATGCGGCCCACACTTAGAATGGAAACTTGGAATTTTCATCAATGTTATTATCGTCTAAATAATCAGAAAACTTAATAACTAACTCATATTGTGGTAAAATTGAGGCAAAATCAATATCAAAACAATTACCTACATCCTCTGGGGGTAAAAATGGTAACCCAAAAATATATGTTAATAGTTATTTCTGATGCTTTATTTTGTTTTTATATTCGCATGACAAACCAAGCTGTTGTATTTTAATATACCATGCCTGGCATAAGTTCAATCTACATCCTTCTATTTTAGAGAGAGGAAATACCTGCGTAATAGCAGAATGAATAGCATTTTCAACATCTACAGTAATGTTTTGTGGATAGAAGTGTGCCATTTGGAAAGATAAAGTATTTTTTAGAACTTTAAAGATTAATTTGCAGGTGCTTTGCGATTTATTAGGTAATAAGCAGACTACTAATTTAAACCGTGGATTGTAAAAAGCTGTACAAAATGTTTTCGACAATATTCAAAGGTTCCATCAACATACCAATCTAAAACACCGTTAGAAATTTTATATTAGTACTCGTTGAAAAAATAACAATTTGATTAACTTGTTCATTTAGCAAAATAAAATGTTCATTTTAGTTTGTCTTTACCCCGTTGGCTTTTATCACTTCTTGAAACTCTTGGAGGTTTTGGGAAGTTTACACAAAATCGATGTTCTGGCGTGATAAGCATTTTTTCTTGCTCTGGTAATGTCATGTGTCGTTACTGTTTCAAGATCAGATTAGTCTATACGCTAGGACACCATCTCCATCTGCACAACCAGAGGATGTCCACAAGGAGGAGTTCTATCCCCACTAATGTGGAGCCTAATCGTAGACGAACTTTTATGCAGATTGACTGACCTCGGCATACCCTGTCAAGGTTCTGCCGACGACATAGTCATATTTGCTAGTGGCAAGTTTAGTAATATCCTGTATGATATAGTCCAACGAGGACTAGAACATACCAAAAGATGGTGCCGCGAAGTGGGACTTAGTATAAACCCTACAAAAACAACACTAGTAGCCTTTTCAAGAAAAAGAAAACTTAATCTCAAAACCGTTAAATTAGACGGGATAGATATAGAATAGAAAAATGAAGTCAAATATCTAGGCCTAACCCTGGACAACAAACTTCTCTGGAACACACATGAGAAGGAAGTAGTAAATAAGGCCACAAAAGCCCTAATGGTATGCAGAAACATTGCAGGTAAACGATGGGGATGTAACCCAAACATACTGCGATGGATGTATACTGCAATAGTGAGACCAATCATCACTTACGGGGCTATAGCCTGGAGTAACAGAACTAGTTTAGCAACTACGAGAGCTAATATTTTAAAAGTACAAAGACTAGCCTGTGTTTGCATTACTGGTGAAATGAGAACCTGTCCTACGGCCACAATGGAGGTGATCTTAAACCTCTCCCCTCTACGTTTGATGATAGAGAATGTGGCAAAAAGGACACGATATAGAATGATCAGGAACGGAGTTATCAGACGAAAGTCTACTTGCTTCAGGACTAAAGATACCTGGAACATGCTCCAGGATGAAATGCAAAATAAGTACAGTTTTGTGAAAAACTTCAAAACCACAGAGCTGGGCTGCAAGAAAGAATGGAGCCAAGTATCCATCGCGTTTGCAACCGAAACACGTGCTATTCAGTGGTATACGGATGGTTCCAAAACCATAGAAGGAACTGGAATAGGAGTGAATGGGCCCAGAATCAAGCACTCCGAAAGCTTGGGAAAATACCCAAGCATCTTCCAGGCGGAAATTCACGCCATCGAGAAGTGTATCCAGTTTAACATCGAGAGAAACTATCATAGACAAGAGATTATCATCATGTCCGATAGTCAAGCAGACATCAAAGCGTTGAGCTCTTACGTAATCAGCTCAAAAATGGTCTGGAGATGCCTAGAACAATTGAATGAGCTGGGCGACAAAAATAGAGTTACTCTCACTTGGGTCCCGGGACATAACGGGGTACAGGGTAACGAGATTGCAGATAATCTTGCAAGGAAAGAGGCTCAAACACCCTTTGTAGGACCTGAGCCGTTCTGCGGTACTAGCAGTAACATAATATTAGGAGAGATTAAAAAAGAATTGGGCAGTAGAAGAACCGATAATTGGAACAATCTCTTGAGGCTGAGACAGGTCAAGATACTTCTGGGTGAATATAACCAGAAAAGATTGGAAGCCTGCATCTGCCTGAGCAAGAACAGGCTACGTATTGTAACATGGACCCTTACCGGGCATTGCTGACTAAAAGGACACCTAAGTAAACTGAGAGTAGTAGAGGATAGTGAGTGCAGATTCTGTGAGGAGGAGTACGAAACCTCTATTTACATCCTAACTGAATGTGTAGCACTCCAGAATCCAAGGGCACTATATCTAGGAGGATATAAAATATAGAAGAGGGAGATTTACCTAACTTGAAGCCACTTCAAATCCTACACTTCCTTGAGAAAATAGGATTGGAAGGGTCGCTATAGGCATTGAGACATTTCCTTAGTGCAGTGGCGACAGAAGGGGGCACAATAGATCTTTTTGGTCGCAGTGTATTAACACCTCATTCTCAACATAACATCCTGTGTTTTTGAGAGGTCCCCGGTATATTTTTGTGGCATTATGTTGTCCAAGGTGTATATATTGAAGATCTTTTGGTTACCAGACCCAAAAATGACCAGTTTGGTTTGTATACAGGGTGGTGATATGGTTAGGACTATACACATATGACATTAGAGTGTTCCACATACACTTGTGTTTTTATCTACTTAATATATCAGTTTTTTTTTTTCAATTTGTCACTGTTTAATAAAGCTCAAAATATATCTGTATAATAGTTGTTGTTTAGATTCTATAGGGTGCAACAAAAAGAGGTAGAAAAATACGAATATATTTCGAATCTCTTAAACATAAAAAATTTACATATTATAGGGATTATTGCACTGGTTTGTCTGACAGTTACAGAAGGAGCAACACGCTAATCCAGCGATTCTACAACAACAACTGTTTTCTTGATAACATTTTGAACAATTACAGCTGGGTACAAGTTCTTTGGTTGGAGGAAAAAGATTTTTTACACGCTTGGGCACCTTTTTCGTTATTGTAACCAAATTAAAGGTTTGGTGTTCTTTCCAAACAGTGATTTTGAATATATATACAATACAAAAAGCTCTTAGAATATAGAATCTTATGTTTGAAGTTGGTGGCAATTTTTCTAAAGAAACACACTTTTGGTGATGATACATCCAATACCTCAGCTCATTAAATGATTTGCATGAAGTGTTTTTTCGTCATACTTTTACCAAATATTCTTCATCTCCAACAGACTTTTCAATTTCGGTATTCGACAAACCTAAAAACTTTTAAATATACTAAATATACAGGGTATATTTTAAATAGGTATTTTTTAAGTAGTTATAGGTAGTTATACCATGTGTAAAACTTGACAGATGGATTTGTGATTCGGCATGAAGGGCAGCACGTTTAGTCCCAACTTTGCTAGTATAATCTGCCCCTGTTAAGTGATAAGATGCAGGAAGTACCGAACAAGTTTCCGTTCCACATCGAACAGACATAACATGTAATGGAACATCTCGTTTTGTAGCTTCTGCTCCTGCTTTTATTCAATTATTCAAAGTTCCTAAAAAAAGTTTAACACATCAAAATATACGTTTGAAACCAATACCACTCGTTAAGTGCTTACCTTTATTCCTGTTGCTTCAAATGTTCTAAAATAATATAATGCCATAATTATGATATCAGTATCTGACAACAAAATACATATGTTTTCATGTCTATCTCGCACTGCCTGAAGCATGTGGACCATTATTCTCATGTCGGCTTCTTCTATATCGTTATTTGGTATTCATTTAATGATTCACAAGGGGGTGATGTTGACTGGAAAGATTCGGTACTTGAAGCGTTGCATATAAGTTGAATCCCAGGCCAGAATTGAGAACCATTTTTTAAAATAAATTGTCGAAGAAATGATTCAAGCAAAATTTTATTTTCTGTAGAGCCCCAAAACTTCTTTTCTTGGACAGGCAAAGGAACATCTTCTTTGATTTCATGCACACAAATGTAAACTTCCAAACTTGCGATATGCGTTTAGCAATAATTAATTGTATGTTCTAACCTCAAACCATACTGCAGTGATTCACACGTGATTTGAACTATAGAAGAAGTACATTCCTAGACCTATTCCAGAGAAGAAATAAAAATATTATCGCTTTTTTTGCGAAGCTGCTGTTTTCAAGGTTTGGGGGAAGTAGATCAGAAATAAATAATTTTGAGAAATAAGAATCGACAAGAATGTTGTATTAAAATTCACTCTTAACCAATTGACTTAATATTTCGGAAAGCCAATTAGGCCGTAGTGCGTACCCAATTGAACCGTCCGTAAACGTACCTGCTAGGATTAGGACCCAACTCGGATTCTCCTAAATTTTAATTTATTAACACATACGAGATATCATGATTCAAATTAACACCAAACATTACCTAGAAGAATCTTCACTTAGATGGCTTTTGATTGATACTGCAGATAGTGTAGATACAAGTAAACACATGAAAATCACTGCTGAGTTATGATATACGTTTTTCCACTTTCCTGTAAATACTTGGTATTTAGACGTATTTACTTGCTATTTACAGAAAATAACCGGAAATACCACATTTATATGTTTAGAGAAAACCGAATTATATAAATTTCATATACGAAATCTCACCTAAAAGTCGTAAATTTCTGTAAATTTTCATGTATATAATTCAAATTTGGTGTCACTTCTTTAACGGCGAAATACAATTTCTGAACATGAATAATGTTGAAAAATGCCATTTTTTACTAATAACTATTTTATTATTAATTTATTTACTTTTTCTCACAATGTATCTATCTGTAAAAAAGCATGTTTTTATTAACTTTTTATCTGTTTTATTATTTAATACTAGGTAATTTATGTATCTATTTTTAAGGACATTAAACAGTATTTATTTTTATATAAGATTTTTCTTATCCCTATTGTCAAAAATTAATATTTAAGATTTTCTCGTAAAAACAGGAAGACTCACTGTTTGAGTCTAAATTTTAAGAAATATAAATAAAACTCAAAGTCGCAAAATTTACTGAAATTTTAAAAATTAAATTAAAACTTTAATGGTCTAGATCAGCCATACTCAACCTGTGGCCCGCGGGCCGCATGCGGCCCTCCAAGCTTTTTTTACGGCCCGAAACACTATTATTGGTCGCAGCGCTAAATAGCACGCTAATTTTTAAATAAATATTTGGAATTTTGTGGGGTTACTATAAAAACAAGATAGCTCCACTTCTGGAATTTTCGAGTTAAGTAGGTACACTTTCTACAAGTTTTAACGAAATCTATATTCATGATAAACCTATAGTCAATAAAAACTAACTCCATATTAATACATTCACAATATGCACAAACAAGATGGAGTGGCATTTATACCAAAATATAATCATAACATTGTGTTCAATTGCTAAGTGAGTCTACCAAAACCAGATAATAGGTATATATCTTATTTTTGCTAAATATATTTAGTCCGAGTGGTTTACCGCTACTTATGTTTGTTGAAACACTGCAACATTGTGCCCACGCCATTTGTTTTATTATGACTAGATTCGTCTCTGACCTTTCTCGATTGTTCCGAAATCCACGAGATGATTACGTCACCCTTTCTTTCCGCGATACAGCTAACCTTCGATAACCACTAGATAATAACACGTGTAATGAGTGATTGGTCAAGCCCTAACGACCGAATCTTTCTAATAGACTTGTATCGAAAGATTTAGCTACCCTAAATATATTCCACTAGAAAAAGAGATTTAATTTATCAATGAGCGAGGGTTACATTCTGCTTTATATGCCAAACTCGCACATTCTTTATTCAGAGGGATGCATGAAAGGATGAAATAAAGTTTTGAAAATAAAAAAAGTGCAAGAAGAAAGATTTACTAAAATTTTGCAAAATCAACTGTTACATCTGCTGAATTTCACCATTATTATCACAATCTACCTGTATCCAATAATGTTAAAGACCCCGTACCCTGAATCTTCGATTGAAGATAGTGGCACATTAAATTATGATTTGTATGTAGAGCTAAAATAAGGTAAGTGACGTTTTTTCTCTTTTTTACCAATTATTGATAGTTTTTTAGTTTATACGTTGTGAACAATGTTTTCAATACCTTCTTCATTGAAGTTAATAAACAGTTTGAAGCTTTTACTGATTTTTCATTCAATTTTAAACTTTTGAACAGTGTTTTATCGAAACTCTAAAAATGTGAGTTATCTTGTTTTTGCAGTAACCCGATTGGATATATTTATGTTTTGTTTTTTATTTATTAGAGGTCCCCACTAACTAATTTTAGATAGATGGCCTAAAAAAAGGTCATCCAAAAATATTGCGGCCCGTGTAACATAGCACACATAGGAATGTGGCCCGAAGGAAAAAAAGGTTGAGTATGGCTGGTCTAGATCGCTTCGGAGAGGGCCGTTGCCATCAGCTTAGGACTATTAAATAGTTCTACACTCTAACTAAACGTATAAAATTGTGAAGAGACACTTTATATTTTAAATTCTAAAACCTTAAAATGCGCACACAGGTAGATTTCTTATGAAGTACATTTCAAAATGTACACTAAATTCAACACCTTAAAAAGTTATTAGTTGAGCAACTAAAAATACTGTTTTGGTCAAGAAGTCAATGGAGAACATTTTTGAGGATTTGATAAATTAATATCCATTTTTTTTTGTTATAGATTTTAATATAGGTATATAGATAATTAATGAAATCATAATATTATTTTCATTGACAAAATCTAATGTTCAATCATCAATATTTTTATTGAAATTTATAAATTGTATAAATTGTAAAAACAAAGAAGTAATTTTGAATATTTAAAAAGTAATTCATGATCTGTTATCTTTGATCAGATAACAATTTTATCAGAAACCAATTTTAGTCGAAATCTGCTTTTAAAAATAAATGTTTTTTTTAATTGCTCACCCTGTATATATCTGACCGGAAGTATAACCGGTTTTGAGCCAAGAGGAAGCCTTACCTACATACAAAATTTTAGGTTTTTTTCTTAAGTTTTTGAGCTACCGCGCCAACAGACAGACGGCAGACAACAGACGGCCGACAGACCGACGGAATAGGAAAAACATGTTTTTCGTAATCTAGGGACCCGAAAACGTGAAAATCTAAAATTTCACGATTACAATACGTCCCTTTTATCGAGAGAAGTAAAAATAAAATAGGTGTACTTAGTCTCTTGAATGCTCCTCTACTAATTTAAAGGTGGTGTATCAGTCTACTTAGTTTTTTTTTGTATATTGCCGGCTGGCTTTAAAGCTTTAAAGTCACACTATATCTCTTGCTCGTACTATACCAGAAATAAGTCGTTGACAGCCGAATTTTGGGACTCCCAAGTATTTACGAGTACTTTAATATATCACATTATTGTTATTTTCAATGCAATTTCATAATGAATTTCACAAGAAATAGATTCACTATTAAGAAAACATTGGGTTTTTTGGCTGGTAAATCCCAATCTAAATCGTCAATGCCACAGCCGCGGATTGTATTTTATCGATTCAATATTCGAACACCAACAATTATTATTACATACACATTAATGAGACATAGTACTGTTCCCTTATTAAAATGGCTGATACCAAATGTGATAACAACAAAAACACAGCAGTGCGGTAAGTTATTTTTGAAGTTCTTAAGAAAAAGTCCAGTTGTATCAAACAAAGCAATTTTTAAAATTAATATTTGTATATTTTTTAGGTTTATGATAAATTATTCCGTTAGATTTTTATCAGGCGCTTTATTTCTTTATTGTTGTTGGATTCCATTTCAAAATTTGACAGGATGGTTTTCGTATCATGTGATATTATGTACATTTGGGGTAAGTTTAAATACAACAGTAAATTTACGTATATTTAAATAATGATCATTATTTACCATTAACTATCGGGCCGGTCAGTTATGTCCAAAATGTTCACTTATCAGAAATATTTTATATCAGCTTTTAGGTCAATAGTGCAGACGTTATAAAGATTTGATTGTACCTACATGGTGTTCCAAAAAAGTAAAGAAATTCATAGTTACAATTTTCATAAAGGTATAATTATGTGGGTTTTGAATTATTTTGATGTTTTTTTTTTTTAATATGAATCAAAAAATCTTAAGTTTTTCAAATAAATTAATGTAGAAAATATTATTGGTATTACAACTAAAGTAATTCATGTATTTAGTCTTCTTGAATAGGTAAAAAGATTATGTGTTACTATTATTAGTTGATTCAAATCAGAATATCTTATTTATTTCAAATAGAACGCCCTGTACTTTATTTATTAATCAAGTTGCAATTTCAATTTTTAAAAAATCTATTAAATATCGTTATCTTATTAAAAAAGTTATGTAATTTACAATTTTCATAAATTTTGAAGTAATTTTCTTAAAATAAACTATTTCTGTGGATTTAAATCATGAAATAATAGTTATTTATGCAACAAGTGCAAAAAGTAAGTGTTTATTGCACGAATTGCATACAATATTTTTTCTACGTTCATGCAAAAACCAAAAAATGTTTTATAGAACTGCAGTTGTATTATCCAAATCATAGTAGGCGTGATCGTGTACCTTTGTTTGAGGCATTTATTTACGTTTGTGTTCATAATTTGTAATGACATTTTTAATAAAATACATTTTTTTATTAATTAATTTATTAAATGATTGAAAATAATATAAAATATGTAATTGTTTTTAAAACGTAACACAGAAAATGAAAATGGACTAAATATTTGGCGTTGATTTGAATATTTATGTTTGTCATGATCATAAAACGCTGTAGTAAAATGACAGATGAGTGCAATAAAATTTTTATTGCACTAGTGCAATAAAGACCCAGTTTTTTCACTAAATATAGTTAAAGTTTTGTTTTTTGCATGAACGTAGAAAAAGATAATTTTAGTTTAAATTATTTCCCAAAGCATAGTAATTTAGTATAGAGGATATGATGGTGGGTACCTAGGGTTTTTCGAGTATTCCGAATTTTTCTTACCTGTAAGTAATATAATATAGGAATCAACTTTTAAAGAGATTAAAGAGACCGGAGATGTAACAGTGCATACTGCGCATGTTGTCTATTTTAACCTTAAGTAACCCACCAATTAAAAATCTTTATGTCCACGGCGCCACCCGAATTGCTCCGACATTTCTATTCTACGCTGATCTCCTCGAATCATCATGGACCGCCGTTTTTTGAATTATTTGTTGGTGTTATTAGCAATTTAAAGTCTTTTAGTTATTCAATTTCAAATTGAAAATGCCAGGATGTATCGTATACAAATAATATAAGTGCCAATGTTATGAAAAATAAGGAATATATTCGTTTTCAGCGGTAAATATTTATTAACGTTTTGACATAAAACCGCCATTATTCTTTGGGCTGAATACTTCAGATCCGCATTAAGGGGTTTCAATAAATATTAAGCATCAAATACATATTTCAGAAAACAGATTTTATAATACATAAATTTACAAAAGGGCAAAATTTTGAACATTTATTTAAATAAGAAGTAACTAGTCATTGTTGCTAACGAAATTTTATTTTTATAAGGTATTTTTATAAGAATATTATATGAAATGCAGGATGACCTACTTAAAATTTTAAGGCTTATTTTATTTGCGGTCAAATCGGAAGTTACATTTGAATCTTAAATCTTAAAACAAAGTAAAACGCATAATATGATCTAGTATAAGCAAAAAAAAATACTAAAGTTACGGGAGTTAGTTACATTGTTAATTCCCTAAACAATTATAAACTCCCTAAACAACTTAAAAAAATCTTTGTTTACTAAAAAAATCTAAATTCTAGCAATATTTATTATTTATTATACCGGGTGTTCAAATTAAAGTGTTACAGTTAAATACCGCCGAAAATATGCATTTTAGAAAAAAGTTTCAGAAAAAAGTTTTATAGTTTTTTGGGGGAAACCATAATATGACCATATCGAGGTGAACTTTGTTTTTTTAAATGGGAATCCCATTTTTTTCTTACATATTCTTAAAGTACATAAAAAAATAGGAAACTTTTGAGGGAAATAAATTTTTAATTGGACTTTTACTTTTTGAGTAACAGCTACTTGAAAATGTTGCTGCGCGAAAAAAAAGTTGGTCATATTATGGTTAGCCATAAAAAACGATTTTAGCAAAAAGTTTTTCCCCACAAAACTATAAAACTTTCGTCTGAAACGTTTTTTTTTTTTTTATAAAAAGCGGTATATAGCTATAACGCTTTAATTTGAACACCCGGTATAATCGAATGCGGTTTCAAAGATAACGGGATCAAAAAATCAAAATTTCTAAATTTTGGAGCTAAATGCTCGGTTAAAAGCAAGCGACCGATAGGGGTTACACGATTTATCGATTATTGTGTTATTTTTTTATGAAAATCGATTTATCCGTTATAATTAATCAATTATTTTTGATTAATCGAACATTTTCAATAAATTATTATCGTTTTTTAAGATAGTGGAAAAATTTATTTTAAAGGTAATACAAAAGTAGATTTATTCAAAATAATCGACCGATTGAAAATAATCGATTTTTTAGAAAAATCGGTTTATCGTTTAAATGGCTTTTTTAATTAATCGATTATTTCCATTACCTGAATATTTTCGATTAATCGATTATTTTCGATTTTTCAAACGTATTCGAATAATTTGTTTTAAAGGAAATACGAAAAAAAAATAATTGTTTGAAAATAATCGAATATTTAAAATAAACGATAATTCGTTTATTATTTTTTTGTAAACACTGATTTATCGGTTAATTGGCTTTTTAATTAATCGATTATATTTGATTTTTCAAAGATAATCAAGTAGTCGATTTTAAAGGAAATGCAAAAAAAATTGTTTGTTTGAAAATAATCGATTGATCAAAAATAGTCTATTATTTTGAAGGATCGACAATTTATTTTGACATCACCCATCCCTAGCGACCAAATGACTTTTAATAGGTTTAAATTTTAAAATGTTATCTGGTTTTAGACATGAATTTCTAGAGTTTTGTGTAACTCATCCTCAATATTAATTAATAATCCTAAAGAAACAAGCTTTAATATACCTTTTTCTGAGGTTAAAACAGCATTTTCTCATTTTGACTAATTTTTAATATTAGGTAATAGTCGTAGAAAAAATATAATGTTCAACTTCCAAGGTTTGATTTGCAGCATTCGCCTGCACACATGCTTTTTTTATAATACTCGTAGACAATGAGTACCATTTCTTGCTCGGTTAATAATATTCTACTTCAACATTTTACTGTAGTCTCTTACAGAAAAGTCCGTAACAAATAAACGATAACGAAATATTCTATAAAAGGTCTTCTCTTTACATAAAATGTCGTAGCATCGGTTTGATATTAAAACATCCGGTTAATTTTATTTCATAATACAAAATTCCATTAAACATCTAGATAAGTAAATCTAATGGTTCATTATGTTGTTAATAAACAAAGGCCGTCCCTGTCACAGAGTTCTGGTCTCCGCCCACTCCGTTAACCTTTCTTTAGAAATTGGCAACATTTGCGTAGAAAAACCGGTGTATATCTATGGTCTCTTTTATCTAAGAATCACCTGTAAGTCGTCCTGGAGCGCCACGGCCAATAAAAGAGTGATCAAAAAAAAATTCTAAAGTAGGCCATGACCTACAAAGTCTAAAATGCGAGTCATGTCCGTGATAACTAGGCGCTGTGCTGTTCTGAATTAAATCCAAATTGACACTGAAATAGAAAAAAAATTGTACCTCGACAAAAGGAAATTTTTCCAAAGCCCACTTTTGAAACATTTTTTGCGGGTCACTCCTTAGTTACAAATTAGTCAAGGTTTTAAATTTTTAAAATCTACAAAAAAATGAGACATATAACGGAACGTAGACATTAAAAGCACAAAATGCCTATGCACAACATAATAAAACATAATTTATTGAAACATAATTTAATAAAAAATAACTTAAATAAGTATAAAAAAGTCGCCATTAATTAAATCAATTTAACATTAATCGCAATCAACCGAAATAGCAAATTAATGTTACGCGTTAAATTTACTAAAAAATTAGCATTCAAATGAAGTACCACCAGTAACGTAGCGTGGCGTCGGTACAAGGGGATGCGATTCACATTTCATAAAAATAATCAAGTTTTTATTATAGTCTTTAATTTTGGACAAATAAAGTATACAAAAAATGCAGCAGGTTAAAAAATAATCAAAATAATAAAAAAGAGAGTGAACTAAATTAAAGTAGGAAAGTTTACGCAAAAAAAAAAAAAAAACGTATCTGTTACATTTTAAATTAAGATCAATTATTCTACTGTGTAGATTTGTGAACACATTTTTTACATTTTCTTGAAATGAAGGGGAAGAACGCGATTACGATACTCACATTCGCGATTAAAGACAAAATACCAGGTACGAGATGCGTTTAAGAGACCGTATCAATCATCGGCGAAAACTGCGGACTGGAAACGCGAAATCACGGATCACGTCCGGAAAGGTCACTGACCTCGGCTCGCCCCACCAAGCGTTCAAGATGTAATAAAGTAATAAGAGACATCGCATCTTACATCATAGCTCATAGCGCTGACGAAATATTTCTATTTGCAGCGTAGCAGAGCGTATTCTATAAAGCTCTACAAATACACATATAAATAATTGAAATTGAATTTATTATTTTCTGCAAATCGATAGGAAATTTTGACATTCCAAACAAAATTTCTTAAAGAAAAAGTTAAGATTTCCTAACAGGAAATATTCATTTCCTTACTGTAAGGTAATGATATGTCCTTACAATTGTTAGTGTTCTACATGAATGATTGAAAATACGTCCTTGCACCTTGCAATTTTCACAGTCGTCCAAGAATGTTAGACTTTTCCTACTTGGTAAACAATATTCTATTATTTGAATAAATTCACTGACAGTTTTAATTTATTATAAGAGATCTTATTGATTTCATTTCAAATAAAAAATAGTAGCTGACAATATTTTGAAGGGGTGCATCACCCGCAACAATGGAAGCTTCGCCACTGATAATATCTACTTTTTAATACGTAATCGTTTTTATGCCGCTACAGTGCGCTAAAATCAAAAGTAACGCAATGAAGAGTTATATTTTCATATTTTGTACTTTCATTATTTAAATTGTATTGGATATTGGATAGTGTGACGGAGGGGAATGGAATGGCATATATGAGAGTTAGGAATATGATGGAAAGATGATTTCCTTGGAATAAAAATCTACATTCTTCGAGGAATTTTTGATATTTTTTATTAATAGATTTTGTAATGGGAAATGTTTAAATTGACACCCTGGAATATTTTCTTGAACATGTATACGTAACCAATTATCGCTCTTTGTAACATTGTAATATTGATTTATTACTATAAACTTACCTACTTTGGTAAATAAATCTCTAATAAGCATATATTTTTAGTATTTACCACTAATGGCGGAAGCAATTATGATGTTCGTTGGTGATGATATATGGAGCAAAAATATAAGTCGGAAAGCCAAATATGCAATTCACGGTATCATAATAACAGTAGCAACCGTCGTTACAATCGTTGGAAACATTTTGGTGTTTGTTTACATACAGACTGGTTATCATTTATATACAGAACATGGGATTACAGGTAAAGTAAAAGTGATATTATTTATTTAAAATTTTGTGTCTCGAATGTAAATGGTTCACAAGTTGTTTACAAAAAGTTTACAAAAATTTTACAAAAAGTTTACAAAAAGTTTACAAAAAGTTTACAAAATTTTACAAAAAGTTTACAAAAAGTTTACAAAAAGTTTACAAAAAGTTTACAAAAAGTTTACAAAAAGTTTACAAAAAGTTTACAAAAAGTTTACAAAAAGTTTACAAAAAGTTTACAAAAAGTTTACAAAAAGTTTACAAAAAGTTTACATAAAGTTTACAAAAAGTTTACAAAAAGTTTACAAAAAGTTTACAAAAAGTTTACAAAAAGTTTACAAAAAGTTTACAAAAAGTTTACAAAAAGTTTACAAAAAGTTTACAAAAAGTTTACAAAAAGTTTACAAAAAGTTTACAAAAAGTTTACAAAAAGTTTACAAAAAGTTTACAAAAAGTTTACAAAAAGTTTACAAAAAGTTTACAAAAAGTTTACAAAAAGTTTACAAAAAGTTTACAAAAAGTTTACAAAAAGTTTACAAAGTTTACAAAGTTTACAAAAAGTTTACAAAAAGTTTACAAAGTTTACAAAGTTTACAAAAAGTTTACAAAAAGTTTACAAAAAGTTTACAAAAAGTTTACAAAAAGTTTACAAAAAGTTTACAAACAGCTTATAAAAAAGTTTACAAAGTTTACAAAAAAACTACCGAACTTGATTAGATCCACGAAATAGTACGAAAGTACTCAGTTTAAATATTATTATATTTTAGAAGAGTTTTTAATTATTTGTGATAAAATGGTTCTTTTATTTATTTAACGCAGAATGCATTTTATGTCTGTAGACATTTCCTAGTAATTATTATATTAAGTATGAACGGTATAACGTAATTATAATATTCTTTATTACCAAATACAGGAAAACATAATTTTTAAAAACAATAGATAATAAAATTGTAAAAGAAATATAAACTTAATAAAATAGTGGTTAATACAAATACTGTTATAATAATTACACATAGAATAGAGAGGAGATTAAAAATTTACATTAGTAGATATTCGTATCATTTAAATACAATTTTTGACAATGTATTGTTTGTCTAAGTCTAATGCTTGCTAGAAACCATCTCATCTGCTTGTAAATCTAGGGTATAGACAAAGTTGTTATTGATTTAAAAGTGATTAATAACTGCAAGATAATGTTCTAAGATACTAACAATTATAGCCTTTATTTTTGGTTTAGTCTCCATAATTCAAGACAGAATGCCATCTCCCCTTCTTTTAATAAACACTGAAAATTCTTACGTTTTAACATTTAACTGTTTTTTTTTTGTAACAATATTATGGTCGTGAGTTCAATCTTCTCTGAGAAAAGCTTTCCTCTTAAATTTTGACTTGATTTCTTTGTAAAATTAAAACATAAAAGAGTGAATGAGAGAATGAGTCAACAATTTGGGATTAGAGTATTCTAACCGATCTTGGAAGTATTTTTAAAGTATTAAACAAATATTTTTCACGCTAATCATAAATCAAGCTTTCAATCTGCACGTAAGTAGGCAACATATCGTACACATCACGCGATTTCGCTGGTCAAGTTAAGGGTGCTTGTCAAATAAACTTTGTAGTAAAATTTTAATTTAATAATATCGTGTGGTAATGGAAAAAAAATCTTGTGTATAATTCAAATGGAAAGCTATTTGCCGCTTACGATACTTTTTATATCAAACGGCAAGACAGCACTTTTTGCTCTTAATATATACAGTATGGTTCAAATGAAAGGAATAAATTCATTATAATGGAAGTAGTTGGTTTTTCGAAAAAATGCTCGGACAGGTCAATTTTGTTTACTTAAAGCGCAATTTTTTAAATAGAATTCAATTTTCCCCCACCTCCCATTTTTGGGCAGTGACGTCATTGACACTTTTTTTAAATAGTAACCCCAATTTTTTTTTCTTGATTTTGATAGATCTTGCAATTTCCTACTCGGAAACATAATATTTGAAATATCTTACATAACAATTTTTTTTTAATAAAAGTCATTTAAAGATCAGATACATAAATTTTATTTTATTTTGAGAACACAATAAATGAATAAAAGAAAATTATTTGTAATTAAGTGCTTAATCTAACAAAATATTAAAAATAAAAAAGAATTTGTGAAATTGTTATTAAATTCTTTATTATTATTATTATTATTAATTATTATTATTAGTATTATTTTTTAGATTAAGTACTTAATTACAAATAATTAGGTTTTATTCATTTATTGTGTTCTCAAAATAAAATAAAATTTATGTGTCTGATCTTTAAATTACTTTTATTCAAAAAAAATTGTTATGTAAGATATTTTAAATATTATGTTTCCGAGTAGGAAATTGCAAGATCTATTAAAATCAAGAAAAAAAAATTGGGGTTACTATTTAAAAAAATTGCCAATGACGTCACTGCCCAAAAATGGGAAGTGGGGGAAAATTGAATTCTATTTAAAAAATTGCGCTTTAATTAAACAAAATTGACCTGTCCGAGCATTTTTTCGAAAAACCAACTACTTCCATTATAATGAATTTATTCCTTTCATTTGAACCATACTGTATATAAATAGCTGTAGGTATTATTTCTTTTCGAGTAGTGAAGTTTCACCCATTCACTTCCGTATTATCTGTAGTTTTCACGTTTTGTTACATACTTATAACAATTATTTTTAGTTTGTTGTTATATTTAATATTAAAAGAATATCTTATTCGTACATTATATTAACTTCCATATTTTGTATTACAGGTTTAATATCCATGATTATTCTCATCATTTCGTTGATTCTTGGTCTAGCTGTCTACTATCCAAACCAAGCTAAAAACATATTGCCTCTACGACCAGTAACTATTAAACTTTTGCATAATGTTTGCGGTCTTCTGGGATTTGGATTTGGAATAATCAGTTTATGTTATGGATACTTTACCCATTGGTTTATTTATTACAATGGAGAAGAATCAAGATACGCCGCACTAATTCTTACTATACTAGTATCACTGTGGCCGCTACACGGGGCATTTGTTTCATTGTATCATCAAGTAAAATCAGTATTAAATTCATAATAGGTAGTTTTTTTATTAAATTTTGTACATTAACTAAATTAACATTTTTGAGTTATCATTTAACATTCCTTACACTCCTTACACCAAAAGTATAAGATGGATGCTATGATGCATCTGTAGATTGGCTTGGCTTTTTTTAAAAGTATAACACTGACGTAGGAACTATTATTTGATTTATTTATCAATCGCACTATGTTTAGGTATTTATATAACAACTTTTAATTATTATCGAATAATTTGCGAAAATATGCATTGTAGAATTAAAGTGAAAATAGCTCAGAAATTACCAGACCCGAGCAAGACAATTTATAATGTTTTTGTGCTAGCTGGGAAAGATCCAGGGACAGAAAATGACATTTATTAGCAGGCAGGAGAGCAGGAAGTACAGAAAAGAAGTTAGAGCAGAAGGGGTAGAAAAAAAAAGAACAGATTTTTTTTATATTTAAAATATCTAGGCATTGCATTTTTTAAAATAATTCTAGGAAGCCATTGAACATACAACCCTAAGAGCTAGGAGAATATTGCCCAAAACAACGCACGCAAAACAACGCATGCAAAACAACGCACAACGAATGCAAAGCAACGCACCCAAAACAGTGCACACAAAACAACGCACGCAAAACAAGGCACAGAAAACAACGCACACAAAACAACGCACGCAAAATAGCACGCAAAACAGCACGCAAAACAATGCAAGCAAAACAACGCACGAAAAACAACGCACACAAAACAACGCATAACGCTCGTAAAACGATGCACAACGCAAACAAAATAACGCATCACGCACACAAAACGACGCACATCGCACACAAAACAACGCAACACGCACACAAAATGACGCACGACGCACACATAACAACGCACACAAAATAACGCACAATGCAAACAAAACGACGCATAATGCACACAAAACGATGCATAACGCACACAAAATGAATCCAACGCACACAAAACAACGCACGACGCACACAAAACAAGGCACCACATACACAAAACGACGCAAACAAAACAACGCACAACCACACAAAACAACGCACAACGCAAACAAAACGACGCATAACGCACACAAAACGACGCATAACGCATACAAAACGACGCACAACGCATATAAAATGACGCCAACGTACACAAAACAACGCACAACGTTCACAAAACAACGCACAAAGTTCACAAAACAACGCCCAGAAAACAACGCACGCACACAAAACAACTTGTAAAGTTTATGATTTTCATATTTTTACTTTTAAGTAGGATATTTATTTGTTAAATAAAGATCTTTATTATCTTATATTATTTTATTATAATTCTTGTTGGGAATACCGTGTTGGGGATTTCCAACACTATTAAAAGGACAATGGGACGACTGTTAAGTGAGGTATACTTGTATAAGTTTTTTCTATCACTTTTTAGGATCCGACCAATTTTAGCGCGAAACACTTTTGAGCGAGACAAATTTTCTGAGACAAATACATGAGAGGCAAGTTAGTGCTTAATATAAATAAAGTATGACCAAATAACGCATAATTTAATTATAGTGAGTCAAGTTAGCGCTTTTTCAAAAAAGTGAAATAAATTAACGCATAATAAAATATGTTAGTATTCTAATTAAAATTAAAAAACTTGAAACTGATTTACCTAACCTGTGCGGCCTAGAGCCACGGCGAGTTGCTCTATTTGGCTCCAGGCCGCACAAGTTATGTAAATTAGTTACAATTTTCTTCTAATTTTATGTAAATTTTTTGTTTAAAGCAACCTGCGATGGCTTTAGGCCTCTTAGGTTAGGTAAATTAGTTAAGTTTTTTTAAAATTTTAATTAAAATACCGGAATATTTTAACACCCGCTTTTATGTCCTGAGCTATTTTGGCCTGCGCTATTTTATCCTTCCGCTATTTTATCCTTCCGCTATTTTGTCCTGGGCTATTTTGTCTGCGATATTTTATCCTGCACCATTTTGTGCTGTGCTGTTTTGTCATGAAGCCATTTTTAACAGATGACTATATTTTCAAATAAATTTAGAAGAGTTAAATGCAGTGAGATGATAAAAACTGTCATCCCATGATTCAACAAATTACTATCATGCTGTCATTAAGCGTGTCGTTTTAATATAATTGCAACGTTCCCAAAGTGAGGCTGTAGAACATGCGCTAGTAATTGCGAAGGTGTCTCAAGTTCTCTCATTTTAGGAAAGCATGGGTCTAAAGTGAACCCTTTGCAAGGTTGAATATACGTGTAATTACGAAGGATGTAAAGAATAGCGCTGCAGAGTGAGATCGATCAGCGATGCGATGAACTATTATCTATAAATAAAAAGATATTTTTATTAGAGAAAATTTTATTAGATATTTATTGACTAATAAATACATAATCTAAAGAGTAATACTTATGTCCTTAGAATCTAAATTACACTAAATTGTATTATGGTGTGACAATAAAAAATCGAAAATCCACATGATTTATAAACATTTGGCAAGCGCAAAATTTTAAATGTTTTTCTCCTGGATAGCCGAAAAATGATTAGCTACATAATAAATCAACCAGTTTAAGCCAACCAATTTTCTTACGACGAATTTTTAAATACTTCAGTTCGTTTCTGGATCTTTAAAAAAACAACACAACAACTGAATATATAATTAATTATAAACTTAAAGAGAATTTAAATAATAAAATATGTTGGCATAAATGGTAAAAATTCTTTTTAACTTAATACTAATAAAATTAGTAACATAAGAAAAAATAATTGGTTTGTTTAAAAATATATTAATTTCGGCAGTGCTGTTCTATAAGCGAAAAATATTGGGTTAAGTAATCTCGCACTTATTTGCAGGTTACATGTCATTATTGTTTTATTTTTATGAATTTGTAAATGGTAAAAAAATAAATAAAAATAATAAATAAATACCAGTACAGTCGAAAGTAACATTATTTTACATATAGGTAAAAAAACTAGGTACTGAATAAGACAAATTAAGTTGAGGTATGTATGTGAAGAAAAAATAACTCAAAATGTAAACCACAAATTTTTTTAACGAGAAACTAGTTTCTGTGAATGACCATCAACCTGTAAGAAAAGTACATTTTCAAAGAAGAAATGAAAAATTAGAATATGTGTGAAACTCGGATGATAAAATGAAAAATTCAGCTGCATAAAATTAAAAAAAAAATTGTTAATGTTATGCTGCTGGATTTTTAATTTTCTCATTGAAATTTCGCACATATTGTATTTTTAATTTCACGTTTTACTTTTCTTTTTTACTTTTTACAGACTTGATGATGGTTGTCACTAACCGAAACGAATCACTCGTTAATGAAGGATAGTTGTGAGCAATACCTTTTCCATAGCATAAATATTTTACTTACAGTAAAATACATACAATAAATGAGTATTTAAATTATACTATTGATCTCCTTATGTGAAAAATATCATTAACTTCATAGCCATAATTTTATTTTATTTATATTTTGTAACTAGTAAAATATTCTTATATTATGAGAAACTAAAAGTGACCTCCCAGACTCAGTTGAGAGTTCAAAAGTTTTCTGTAAGTCTGATATTACGTAGTAATACATTTAACGTCAATTTTAATTTAGAGTCATAAAAAAAAAACCATAATTATTGAACTATAGTCAATTATTTATTTAATTAAAAGAATTACCAATACAAATAATTTATTTCAATCTGTTTTGCTTGCATTTTATTTATTTATTAGTTCTACAATTTGGTTTCAGTTTTCAGTTTTTTATACTTAGTTATTATAATTTTTAGCACTCCATTGCAGCTCAGAGGAATGATTCATTGTAGGCCAAACGTTAATTTTTAAAAGTCTTTTTTAGTTTTGAGGAATTTAAAATTCTTGATTAGTTATTATTTACTGTTCAAGCCAATCAAAAAAATTTACTTCTACAGGGTGGCTCACGCTCAACGGGGCGGAGCTTTATGGGAAAACGACCAAAGATATAAAAAATTCGTTTGGGAGGAATACGTAGGTTACAGACGGCTACAATTTAAAATTTGTTAGATGTATACAGGATGTCCCACATAAGAGAAAATATACAAAGTTATATTATTTTTAATGGGACACCCTGTTTTTTATTTTAGAATTAAAAACTACATCAAAAATAATGTCAGTTAAATAAAGGTTCCCTATTACTATTATTATTAGTTTTCGATTTATTTGAATTTTTAAGGAAAAAAAGTCTCCCAGAAATTAATTGTTTACTCTTGTTTGAATAATTTTTAATGAACTATTTTTTTTTCTTATGTGGGACGTCCTGTATACATCTAACAAATTTTAAATTGTAGCCGTCTGTAACCTACGTATTTCTCCCAAACGAATTTTTTATATCTTTGGTCGTTTTCCCATAAAGCTCCGTCCCGTTGAGCGTGAGCCACCCTGTATAAGAGCATATCTATTCTTATTATCTTATAACGGTTTCATACATTTTATTACTAATTTTTATTGGGTACTAAATTTTCCAAAATAAAAAAAAAGTAAGTATAACATTTATACAGAGCTGTAGAAAAGAACCAAGAGAATATTCACAAATTGATAAAAATAAAACATAATAATGTAATCACCTAAGTCTAAAACTAAAGTTAATTTAATAAAGAAACAAATCACAGACATCTATTAACATAAAATGGAGTATTTTGTTTACTATTGTGATGGAACTGAAATATATATTTTAGTAATTAGGTAATGTACATTTAAAAATTAATATCTACAGGTTTATATTTAAATAATAGGTTGGTTCAGAAATTGTATACTTAATTATTATCATCAATATTGCATTGAATACATTTGTTTCTCAAAAAATTCAAAGCATTTATAAAAAACATTATAGGTACTTATATTTAATAATTACAATACAAAAGTTATTATTATAGTGTTTTAGTTTAGTATTTAAAAGTTATAAAAACAATTGTAACGTCCATTGTAGTATTAAAAACACTATACTTATACTAATATTTCTACGCCCATGTCAGTAAACGTTAAAAATCGCA